TTATATTTGCATAGGTGTAGCAGAACACAATACTAAACTAACCAAAACGTAAAAAAGTCAATGTGGAGTGCAAGTTATGTTAGGTTTAATCAAACACAAGTTCGAGTTTATAAAAAAATCCTTCAAATTCATACAAAACATCTATACATTGTAATTTTTATACTGTTTCAATGAAAGTATATCAAAAACATTATTTTTATAATTTAGACACTTTAAAAAATCTAAAAAGAGTCAGGGTTACAGTTATAGATTTTTTTTTTATTCTATAATCATCGACATAGTTTTAGAATATAAATATTTTTTATAAATATTCTATGATTAAGCTTTAGATTAAATAAACTTATCATATACTTGTGTAAAATATTACATTTAATTTCTTTGGATCAGCTACGGTATCTGAAATTGTGAAATACGAAATTTGGCAGTTCTTGTTTAAATGTGAAAGCAAATGTAAATATTGTGATTGTTCTCATTGCAGTCATGGAGGCTAAATAATATTTACTTTTAATATCCTCGCATCAGAACTTTTAATGCCAAAGGGGCAAAGAAAGCCCACGGTCAGTATCGAAGTGTGAATAGTTCTATGACCATACTTGGTATGGTAGCTATATTTTTGTAAAATTTTAGCCAGTCAGTTCAGTAGTGTTTACGTTAAATCGTAATATACATACCGACAGACACCATTAGATTTTGTTATAATTGCATAGATTAAAGAATTTTGCCAGCTGTTTCAACTAAACAAGTTGGTTCTATGATGTAATAGAGTTAAAAAGTTTAAAGGTTCGATGACAGGGTGAAGCACTATTATTGTTGCTCATTTATGATAACAGCTAATTATTTTAAACTAAGCAGCAACAAGAAGCTGCGATATACATTGAGAACTGTCAAAGTAGGATTGTTTACAGTTATGTTTATGTTTTTAATTTACTAAATAATTTGTGATATTATGCGTATTTTTTTGCGTTCATTTACTTTCATCTATTGTGCAGTGGTAGAACATTATGGCTATGGTAGATGTGTTGTACTTTACCATACCGTAAATTTAAAGGGCCAGATTTTCTCAACCCGTGTCCTCCCCCGTTGCAAACGCAGAGCACGAGAGGACAAGTATAACTGCAATAAGAATTATATACTTATACGCCAACCCCGTACGAAGGACGGGTACTCTGCTAGTTAAATATGTACTAAAGATACAAAGATGAAAGTTTTCTTTATTTTCTTATTTAAACTAATCCTAATTGGTATTAAGTATGTGGTAAATTAATAATTTCTAGCTTTATTTAAAGTTTAATATGACGATTTCATTAATATTTCTAAACACTATTAAAAACGCACAACAATATTGCTGAAGTTTATATCAGCTGGAGCTGATGTTTGTTAATGATTTATTATTTATTGTGAGTGGAGTTTTTTACAAATATATTGATGTGCCAAATAAAATTTGTTTATTTAAATTAAATGATTAGTAGTTTGAAACTTCAAGATTGAAATCCAAAATATGAAAAATAAAGGTAAAAGATAATGAAAGAGAGGTTTGACAGTGAATGTGAATAAAGTATATGAAAATGTTCTTCGAATATTTGGTAAGATTGTCTCATATTAGCCTATACAAGATTTGTATTAAAACTGAAATGGTAGTTTCCATTAATTTACCTGAATTACAAGTCACAAACATTGATCAAATTAAGTGGCACGCTGAATGTTGTTTCTAAAACGGTCGGTGGGTGTGTAACTATTTTATACAACAGATGTAGACTAAGAAACAAATTCTTCTCTTTCAAGTCCTCTTCCCGTTGCAAAGCACGGTTACAGCAGCTAGTCTAATAACAAAATTTATTTCTTCGTTTGTTGTCGGTCGTTTACATTTGCTGAATATTATTTATTAAAACTATTGTGCCAAGTTGAGCTGATATAAAATCTACAAATAACAGAATGTTAAAACTTGTTTGTAAATATCTGTAAGAGTCACTCGGATGGTTTGATCTGGCTCACAATAGAAAGTAATAGTCCGAAGATTTGTAAAAACTAGTGTGCTTGGTTTGTTAGTTTCATGAAGGGCGATTCTAAATGTAATAATGTAATATTGTTTCGTGATACTTGACCAGCTTAATCTTTTGCGACGGTGACAATGGTCAGCTGGTTCTAGCGTTTAGTGTTAAACGGGCAATTTAAACTTGTCTTATTATTACTTTACGTTATTAAAACAGTAGATTTCCCATCCTTATGGAACAGCTGAAGCCAATTTTATTGTTAGTTCTGTCCTGTGCACTATGGAGGTCGTGTTTTGTTTACAATTTGTTTCTTCTTATTTCAGTCGTTTAAAATCCCGTTTAACCACATAAAACGATGTAATCGTAAACAATAACTCGTTCCTTAGTTATGCCATATTATGCTTTCAAACAGTAAAGCACAAATCATGAAATTAACGCTAAAGTTATAGAAACAAAATTTTGTCGACACTATAACCAGTGTCACCGGTAGACACGAAAAACGAGCTTCAAAATTTACAATGGGATGGGAAGTCTACTTGTGTTGGTTTAGTCTATGGTATGGTTTAGACCCTTATTACTTTGGGTGTTTTGTGAGATATTTCTTACTATTTTGAGTGATGTTTCTAATGTTTTGTATAAAACGCAGGCGCTCTCTGGGAAATATAAAAAGGTTTTATTAAGTATTCTTTTATATAGATTACGTCTATTTAACAGAAGCACACAACGGAAATGAATAAACGGTATCAGCATTCTGACACATACTTTCTCCCATAAGTTTGTCAACAACCTTTATCATGTGTAAGCGGTGAGAGTAAATATACGGAAATGGGATTTGTACAATTTTCTTCAGAATTTAAAGGATTATTACATACTAAATTGATATCAAAATCTTTCGAGCCAATTTTGGGAAAATCTGATTTTCCGTTATTTTATGGGGTTTTTATGGGAAAATAACATAATTTACAATAACTTTTGAACCGTATTTTTTACAGAGATGGGATTTGTACCATTTTGTTCAGAATATAAAGGACTATAACATACTAAATTTTTATCAAAATCGCTCGGGCCATTTTTGGGAAAATCATATTTTTCCGTTATTTTATGGGGTTTTATGGGAAAATCCCCATTAAAAATAAAAATTTCTAAAAAATGAAAAAAACTATCAAAATTGTAAGGACCTTAACATATTATGTTAAATCAAAACCGGATTTTTGTCTAAAATCCTATTTTTCGTTATTTTATGGGGGTTTTATGGGAAAATAACATAATTTACCGTAACTTTTGAACCGTAATTTTTACAGAAATGGGATTTGTACCATTTTGTTCAGAATTTAAAGGGCTACAACATACTAAATTTTTATCAAAATCGTTCGGGCCATTTTTGAGAAAATCCGATTTTTCCGGTTTTTTATGGGTTTTTATGGGAAAATCCCCATTAAAAATCAAAATTTCAAAAAAATGAAAAAAACGCCTGGAGATACCATGGATTAGAACCTACATACCAAATTTCATCGAAATCGGACCACAGGTGTAGTCTCTAGCTCTGTACACATCCAGACACACAGACACACAGACACACAGACACACAGACACACACACACACACACACACACACAGACATCACTTCGAAAACCACTTTTTTGGGTCCAGGGGGACCCAAAACGAATATATCCACTCAAAACTCAAACTAGAAAATTTTGACGAAAACAATACTTTCTCCATATACTATGGTATAGGGGGAGAAAGTAAAAATCCAACCATTAACAATATCAATTTATTATAAGAAATAATGCATTTCAATTACCATAAAAACAAGAAAAACAACTATTTAAGCTTAGCCTGGTACACCTAAAACTACAAAATAAATTACTATAACAAGTCTGTAATAACGCACAACAACGGGAAATGTATATAAAACTACAACTAAAATTATTGTTATTGAATAGGAGTATAATCTTACAAAATACTATAAGACCCTTCACATTGTATTGACTCATCATATTTACACTCAAACAATAAGTATACAGTAAAATTGTTTATTCTTTGGTTTCTTAAATTGCAAATCAACATTCAGCTAAGTGTTACCAAAGCACGCCTGAATTCATGGCTATAAATTTGTTTAGACCAACACACGTATACAGTACTAATGTGCTGGTGTCCTGTGTGTAGGTTCCATGTATTCCATGTCACACAATGTCAGGTGCGCCATCCAATACACCTGTATTATCTCACCACTGGGCCCAGATAAGCCTAATATATCACCTCTTTATGGGCAGAGGCACTTTTAAATGTTATCACCCTTTCCAAAATATCGCAACCCGCTTCCAATCGGTCCATTTAGATGTTGACTGGGTGATATTATCGTCCGCTGCTGTGTGTTCCACCATAACTATTTATGGTGTTTGAAGTGTTGACATTGTATGGGGCAATTCTTATACAGTAATTATATGTCGTCTGCAAGAATAAGGTACAAGAGAAATTTCTCAAACTGGTGAATTATATATTGATGTACACCCATTGTTATAAGCAATGTCTTAAGAACACTAAAATTTGATTTAAAATATTTCTATATACATTTCAAGGATACGCTGCAGTTTTATTTAAATACAAATTAATACAATTATTATTATTAATTAAATATTTATATTATTATTTGCTACCCATATTTTGAATAACCATAAAGGTGTTTTCTTTGAAAAATGAACTGTTACTTATAGGATAGTTCAAAGGTAAAAAAATTTTACAGTTAAACTGATGTGGCTTATTCAACTATGACCATTTTGAAAAAAAAAGAAACTACCAACAGATGGTCTACGTAGATGGGATGTCTACTTTAGTATCAAATGTCAATGATAGGCCTTAGTGTACATTTTATGATACGATTTTCATCTCTAATAGTATCGACAACGACCTCACAATCATTAACTGTGACCGAGGTGTACAATGTGGAGAGACAGTCTTGATAGGGCAGCGTGCAGCGCCTGATAGAGATGGCCACTACAACACTACAGCACTGTACAGCACTAGGGTCTACGTCTGGTGTGCAGGCGAGTCAGACAACACTGTGTTCATCACTATGTCTTTGGCCTCCTCAACGCCGCACCTGCAAACATACACACACATTTTAATATGTTCCATTCAAACTTGCATTGCAACTTTAAATTCTACCTAACAGCTAATCAAAATCAATAATTCGCAAAGTAAAAGCAAAAGAAACATAATCCCAAAATGTAAAATCGAGAATAAAGATGTATTACAACTTGGACCAGTTCAAAATTTAAATTCATTTTAATTTTTATATTTTAAATTACTGAAAAAGGGCTTACTGTATAAATGTCAAGAAACTTTTTATTTAGCATTTCGAGTTCCTAAACAAACATCATCATTTTTAAAAAGCCGAATGAAAATAGATGTAAAGTTACGATTTTTAGTTGTAAAATAATGCAAAATTAGGTGTAACCTGACTAGCTATCTTAATTCTACCTCATTTTTCAAATAAAAATTAAGATATTTCAAATAATCTCGATCTTTTTGAGCTTGGTGTCGTTTGATAGGAAAGTTTAAATGCTAAATTAATGTTTTTTTTTTTTTATAATGTTTTCATTTTAAAATCAACCATTTTTAGTAATTGAAATTATAAAACTTGTGTACCTTAACATAGTGTACATACCAAGTTTTATAAGATCAGTTGGAAAAATCCAAAGGTAAAATGTTTATGTAAAAAATACAAATGGCTGATTTATGGTTAACGAAGCGATATTAGAAAAGATTTCATTTTTGACTTTTTCTTGAATCTAACCCAGGGCTAGAACATCTAACCTATAGAAAAATTTCTCAGATTTTGCCTGTTTACTTATGGGACAGTCTGTACTGTATATATCAAAATATTAACCCCATTGTCTCTAAAAATGAAGTCCCCCAGTTGAATAATTACATGTGTAACATTTAATGGGACATGTTCACTGTGCTTTTAAGGTGTGTAAGTGTGTGTATATGCTAATGTGCCAATACAGACTATTAGTTGATACATTGATTCCTAACATGCATAATTAACGAGATAAAGCAAATAATAATTTTATGATAGCACTATTTTACATGTCAATGTCCTTCTCATAACAATAACCTGTACCAGCAATATACCGGTATTGTATTGGTTTATTACTGTAATTCAACTAGCGATTCGCTTAAAACATGTGCAAAGCATGTATTTTACTGTTACTGGAAACCCAATTCAAATCATCGAGTTTGTAGGCCAGTGTAGTTTACTTTTAATCTTGTCTACAGTCTGAAATTTTCCGAGCAGATATCCAAGAAAATACTTGATTAATTGGCTTATAATTAACTAAATAACATTTAATTAATTAAATCTAACCAAATAACATTTAATTAATCAAATAACAAATTAATTTAAACAAGTTTGCTCGCAATTATTGTACAAATAAAATGCATACAGTATAGAGTTTCCCTGTTTTGGGACGGGAGAAATGTTCTTATGCCTCTTACAATTATTTGATAATTGGAGTATAAATGTGTTGAACATTGAGTTGCTTATCCAGGAATGTTGAAGAATGATATGAATGAATGTTGATGAATGAAGAATGCTAGTTATAAAACTAACAGGTATAAACAATCACCTTTGAACCAGTATTGGCTCATGCCTACATTTATGTATTAAAAACCTATTTTTATACAGACTGTTGTTGGGCTCGAATAAGTTTGATTTAATTAGGCTATGTATAAACCCTTGTTAAAAAAGTTGCAGTGCCATAAACTATAACTGGTCATCTGCATTTGATTGTGATAACCTCCAAAGGCTGCAAGTAGTTTCCCTAACATGTTACGTCACCCAGTTCAAGACCCAGCACCCCTGCTGAGCTTTGAAGAAAGTGAGCTTGAAAGTACGGTTGCGATAAGACAATAGATGATTGATTAATTCTTAATTACGCAAGCAGTCTCAGGCGAGACAATGGCGCTAAAGTCACTATCAGCTGGCGGAAACAATGTTGCCAACAGCACAGATAACAACAATGGGATTTTATCAGCCAGAGAGAAACAAAGAGTCCTGATGCTGTCATCGCCATCGCTGTCGACGGTTTTATTTATTGTTTGAGGAGTTTCCAATAGATGAATGAATATGTATAATTCACCATTACTGGCACTAGGCACTGTGTACTGGTGAAAACTAAAATCAATCAATCTGGTAAAGGACTTCGTATCGTTTGTTTATTGTAAACTTATTTTCTGGACGTTTACCCGTACGCGGTTATTTGTTGTGGGTTTATAAAGGACTCACTATTTGATAGAGTTAAGGAATTGAAGATAAAGTAGTGGCAAATGAACTATACCTGTATAATACAGTTCATGGATCTGTTAAATGAAAAAAAAAATATTTTATTAAACTATGCAGATTTATGTATGTTTCTTGTTGATATTACTGAATATTGCATGGTAAGAGACTGCCGTTAATACCTACTGGGTATGGCACGTTATTTTCACAATTTAAAGTAGTTTGTCATAAGCAGACATAAATTATTAATGTGAGTTCACTCAAATTTACTGTCGTTTATCTTCTATTTATATTAAATATAAAAATACTTTTCAGATTTTTCATTTTTTTTTACTTTATATATTTCAGAAATTGTGTTCGTATCATGCTGGTTTACTGAAATTGACACGATAACATTTTCTCATTTGCAGTTTGTCAAAATCAGGCTAGACTTATAGGTATTTTAATTTACATTTATTGATTTCTCGTTTTTATTTACACTTCGTAGAAACAAGAGTTTAGTATATTTATCGAGTTTTTGACCTGTACAAACTTAAAATTTCTTTTTGCACTGGTTATAAAATGTTCAAATTAATTACAGATACTTTACCATTGTGTCCAAAATTTTGATATTAGGCCTACCATGTAATTATCGTCTGTCACGATATTGTAACGGTCGCAGATAACGTCTTGCACTTGTAAAGGCGCTTGGTCGCAATCAGTGACTTGCGACAACTTCCGTCGTAAATCAGTTACAATTACGATTACCTTTACGGTCACCGTTATTGATAACGATAACTACAACCTCGACCTAGCATTCCTTAAGTCTTGAATATGTCATCTCAACTTTAAGTTAACTTGACGTTTTACTTTTTGTATAGCTACCAATACAGTAATTAGTTATTTTTGTGTAACTAGTGTGCGAAGTGGCACTTTGCTGCACACGAGAGAAATGTTTACTCGGAAAGATTCTCGAGTGCAGCAAAGGTAATTTGCACTATTGCACTCGTGTTACACATTATATTTTCCCTACAGTTATTATAAAGCATACAAATAGTTAGTCTTTCGAAGACTAAACAACACGTTTTAGGTTAGTTTTAGGTTAAATCCAAGCGTTTAACTACATAGAAAACACTGCAACAGCTGATCGTAGTAGTAGTATCTTTAAGTGTCGCCAACTTATTTTCAAACTGTCTGAGAAGAATCTTTGCTACTCAACTGCATTGAAACCATGTATTGCTCCCAGTGGTTGAGATTGAGAGTACATGTGTTCATCGATTACAGATTACATGACACTAACGGCCAGATATATAGTATCCAGATACATAGCCACAAGTAGGCCTACTGCATCACTGTCAATTCACGAAACACATTATTTCTAACAATCCTTCTCCCTAGATTTCCCCAATTGTATTGTATTGGTAGTCAAACACAATCAAAACGGTAATGTTTGTTTAAGAGTGAGAGAGAAAGAGAGAGTGTGTTCGGATGAGTTAGTGGGCCAGTTGTCGAGTTTTCAGTTGCCGGGTCACCGAACGCATTGTCAGCGCCAATGGAGGCAAAACAGGCCTCGCTCTTCCATTTCTTGCTCTATGTAAAGTAAACAGAGGTCATTGTAGTGCGGGGACGCGCCGCTCGAGCGCGCTGACGACTCATCAGCGTAAGTGCACTCGCTGTCATGGGACATGCATTTTGGATGTTTCAGCACTAAACTGAGGAAATAAACTGTATAAATAACTATATCATAAGAACCTTGGGCATTAATGTAGGTCAAATCATGCTTGTATAAAAGCAGTTATGGTTGATCTAAACAGTGCCACTAAATAGTAGCCTGTCAATGGCTGGTAAAAATAATTTTAATTTATATTTTTTAATTTAATTTATTGGTCCACCGTGACTGCACTTTAAAATGGAAAAGGTAGAACTATTTAGGTGTGCAAAAATATGCTTCAATATTTTATAAAGGTAGGGGATTTGACTCATCTCAATATAAATAAATCCCCAAAATAAATTGTTTGGTTAAGATTATTTAGTTATTTAGTGAAAGTTTGTGTATTTGTTTGTTTGTTTGTTTGAAGTTCAATCACGCATAAACTACTGGACGGACTGTGCTGACATTTGACATGATGATAGCTCACATTCCCGATTAACATATAGACATACAGTATCCTTATCTCAAAAATCCTTTCGGGCTCCGCCCCAGTGGCTCTGTAGTTCCCCATGTTAACCTTATGAGTATTCATATTACAAGGGAATTTAAGAATTCTATTACAACTGAAAAAGTTGGTCTATGATATGCAAAAGCATTAAAAAGTTATAAGATTTACAAACAGGGTGCAGCACTATTATTTTTTTGCATTTATGAAAACAGCTAATTTGAACTAAGCAGCAACAAAAAACTGTGATACGCAATGAGAACTGCAAAAGTAGGATTGTTTACAGTTATGTTTATGTTTTTAATTTCATGAATAATTTGTGATATTTTGCGATGTTTTGATAATTTATTTGTCTCTATTGTTTAGGTGAAGTGGTAGAACATTATGGCTATGGAAGATGTGTAATACTTATAGTATACTGTAAATTTAATGAATAAAATGGGATTAAACTGTGTTTTGCCTCGTTGCAAACGCAAAGCTTTAGTATAACTGCAATAAGGATTTTATATTTATATGCCAACCCCGTACGAAGGACGGGTACTCTGCTAGTATTTTTATATGTGTTTGTTGGTTGGTTTTAGTTGACCTGGAATTTATTTTTTTTTATATTTCTTAATACCATTTCTGTGAGTAATTAAAAAGTGGTTTTTACAAACTGAAATCAAAATTGAAAATTTTATC